GAGCAGGTCTAGCACTCTATCCCCCAAGCCGAAGGGAACTGGATTTGGAGGCAGAGAACAGGGGTTCGTTCAACTGATCATGGGCAAGACACCACCCCTGTGGGCCCCAGCTTCCTCAGTTATAGCAGGAAAAGGTTGGACTGGATGGCTTCCATCTAAATCTGTGATCCAGTGAACTATCTCGTGTCAGTGCTAGAACTCAAATGCAGATCTTTCCAACTTCTGTTCTTTCTACTGTAGCGAGAACCAGTGTCACTCAGAGTAGTGGTATGTACTTTTAGTCCCCTAAATGGTGAATTTCTGGGAAATTTCTCCAAAAGAAGGCATATGACATCTGACCCCCGTATCCAACCCTCTGCCAGGCTTCCTTCCAGGAGACACTGCCAGGCACCACCGAGCTTGTGTGCTGGACCTGCTGCATGAAGCACTGACTGAAGCTGGACTGGACCCTAAGAACATTGATTGTATCGCCTTTACCAAGGGTATGGGTGGAAAAATGGCCTTCAGGTTGGGAATGGGCTGAGACTTGTCTAGTTTCAAAAGCCCTATCTTTGTGGACTGATCTCTTGTAGATTGCTAATCCCTCTTTCTCCTTCACTTCAGGCCCTGGAATGGGTGCCCCACTAGTCTCAGTGGCTGTTGTTGCCCGAACTGTGGCACAATTGTGGAATAAACCATTGGTGGCTGTGAATCATTGTGTAGGCCATATTGAGATGGGCCGCCTCATCACTGGAGCCATTAGCCCAACTGTACTCTATGTTAGCGGTGGAAATACTCAGGTACTGGGAAAACATCACTTATTCCTCCTTGTAAGACTCAAGGCATTTTGATTTTAAAATGAGTAGCTGGAGCAGAGTTGTGTAAAACCATGATGTATCATACCCCTAAGGTCGAATCAGCAATCTTTTTAAGATACAGCCAGTACTAAAAAAAGTTCTAGGAAGTTCTGTTTTAAATGATCAACAGAATAAGGTGGCACTGAAGTAAATTATAAAGTTTAGAAGTTTTTCATCTAGAAAGATGAAGGCTGAAAAAGATTATGATAAAAGTCTGAAGATTTTGGATAAGGGAAACATGAGTTTGTTTACCAAATCTCAGAAAAGTAGAGCTAAGGATATTTATTCATCAAAGCTTCCTCAGAGCAGGATAGAAAGCACAACAGTATCAGTACTCTTGTGAAAATTGGACCTAATGGTTTTTCTTCCATTTTATCGTCCTTTGTGGTAGCTTCTTGAAGGTGGCTAGTGAACAAGCATTGATTGAGAAACTTAATAGGGACTTAATGTTTATGAGTTACCATCCCATGTATTTATCAAAATGTTCAGAGTTTAGATATATCATTATCTTTTTCCTTGTGGATCTCATAGTTTAATGCAGAGGTTCTTAACTTGGGATTCTTGATTTTTTAAATATTTTGATAATTGTATTTTAGTATTATTTATTTCTTTAATAATCCTAAGTATTTCATTTTATAGGATTCACTAGACTGCCACAGAGGTCTGTGACAACAAAAAGGTTAAGAAACCTTGGTATAATGGGACTTAGATACAAATACAATTACAATATACATAATTGCAAAACGTAGTGACACATAAAGTCTGAGAGGGAATCAGGTCCCAGAGTGAAGTTGAAGGAGTGATAGCAGGGGTCTTACTTCGGCTGAATAGGTTTTCCCTTTCTGTACCTTATTCCTTGCCACTAGCCCTGTGCTGTTGACTGGCGCTGGGAGGAGGAGAAAAACCTGGAACCAAGATTTGGGATGGAAACAGCAGGTTTTACCTTCCATGAGTGGGGCAGAACTTGTAGCTACAATGGGAGGGCCTCAGCAGGAGTTCGGGGGAAGAAACATTCCTCATCTGTACCTCTGGGATAACTATTCATATGTAAGAGTTCTTTATTGACTATCAGGTCTTCATAAATAGGAAGACTATCTACTGATTGGGTTAAAAGATGAGTGTAAATCAGTAAAATATTCCCTATTGTCCAGATTTCTCTGCTCAGTCCATGGCATATACTTAAACTACCCCTAGCCTTTTGAATGGCTTCTGCAGGACCCTTTCTTCCTACTTTCTTATAGGATACCCTCTTTTATAGCTCACACTGACAGGACCATGTCTTCAAAGGATATATGCCCAGAGAATGTGTAGGAATTTCACAGGCTAGATAAATATCAATGAACTGGGTATCTGTTTTTTGCTCTCTTATGGACTAGCGAAGTCTACTCTTGGCTTCCCTAGGCTATTTTCTATAGTAGGAATACAGAGAATAATTCATTCAAAAACTAAAGACACTATCTCTTCCCCATTTTTTTAAAGAAGTCTTAGTTACTATATTGATTGATTGTAATGTCATCCCCAAACTCAGGGTTTCATGGACACCCCTACCTCCTTTAGGTGATTTCATACTCGGAACATCGCTACCGAATCTTTGGGGAAACCATCGACGTTGCTGTCGGTAATTGTCTGGATCGATTTGCCCGAGTTCTAAAGGTGAGAGAAAGAGATTTGGGTGCCTAAGGGAAACATAACAAGTAATGGGGCCCACTAGGCTTCCATGGGGATTGAGGAGAGGACATAGGGTTCTAAGCAGTCAAACTGACTTTACAGTGGGAAGATCACAATAGAGAAATATTGAGCAATCTAGGCCTGCCCTATGTTCCCTGTACATCTAGCTTAACCCCCTCCCACCTCACTGCTTTCCTGTTTCCTCCCCTACCAGATCTCCAATGATCCCAGCCCTGGCTACAACATTGAGCAGATGGCAAAGCGGTGAGGGGGGTATGGGGTGGGAAGAATATTAAGGGTTATGGGGGAGGCCAGAAAAGGGAGACTGGCAAGACTTCAGGGCCTTCCCTCCACATACGAATGTGGTTGGGCAGAGGGAGAAACCTTCTTATTCCCTCAGCCTGATGCCTTATGTACTCTTCAATACAGAGGCCAAAAGCTAGTGGAGTTACCATACACTGTGAAGGGGATGGATGTCTCATTCTCAGGGATCCTGTCTTATATTGAGGTGAGTATGAGAGATGAGGATCTGGATCATCCCTCCAATACACCAGGTCACACTGGAAGGGCATTGTGGGGTATGGATCCCAGGAGTATAGGCTTCTAAATCTCATCCTAAAGACAGCCTGAATTTTAAGAAAATAGGTATCAATTCTCTTGGCTCAGACCACAGACTAATTTCTATCCTTACTACATACCACATGCTACCTTTAGATTTGTTTCCTTACCTAGGAAGCAGCTCATCGAATGCTGGCTGCAAATGAATGTACCCCTGAAGATCTGTGTTTCTCTCTCCAGGTACTAAAGGGGAAAGGACTGTGGTAGAATACTGAGGCTCAGGAAGCCTTGTAAATAGGATGGGATTGAGCTGGAATGATTCTTACATGTTGTATCCTTTTGTTTCCCTCCCTGATCCCAATCCAGGAAACAGTGTTTGCAATGCTGGTGGAAATCACAGAGCGAGCCATGGCGCATTGTGGCTCCCAAGAAGTCCTCATCGTGGGAGGTGTGGGGTGTACGTATCATTGGGTGTCTCACACCCACATACCCATACATATGTAGATACACACATACATACACATATGTACACATACATCCATATATATTTTCTTCATATTCCAATATCATATTTTCTAACAAGAATTCCAGAGTTCCTTTAGTCTGGTGGGAGGGAGGGTGGGACTTTCCAACCTCCCCACCCCACTCCCTGTTCCTCTGAATTGACTCTATAAGAAGAATATAGCTGGGATTTGTTGATTGGCTGGGGACTTAAGTTAGAGAAACAAGTGGAATGAAACTAACCTGACTTCTATCACTAACTCAGGCAATATGAGGCTACAGGAGATGATGGGGACAATGTGTGAAGAACGTGGTGCCAAGCTCTTTGCCACTGACGAAAGGTGAGAGTGCTTCCTCCTTTTTCTCTCCTGTCCATTTCCTCTCTTCTCCAAGAGTCACTTATTCTAGCCAGTGGATTGTAGGAATGATATCCCCTTCCTCGATTCCCAAGGGCTCATGTATTTCCCCATTTTACCCGCAGATTTTGCATTGACAATGGAGCTATGATTGCTCAGGCTGGCTGGGAGATGTTCCAGTCTGGACATAAAACAGCACTCAGTGATTCTGGGGTCACTCAGAGGTGAGATATTCCTTCTCTTCCCCACCTCTTCCAATATACAAACATCTTGGAGACAGTTCCATATCCTTTGATGAGAGGAGAAAGGGGTTAATGTTTGTATACTTTGTCAGACATGGGTTTTTGTACTGGGTGTTTTTGTCTAATTCTTCCTCTTTGTTACAAAGGGAGGTTTCAGGTTAGAGGTCGTGGTTGGGAAATAATCATAATGTTTTTAAAAAATAAAGGGAAGGAGGGGCAGCTAGGTGGTGCAGTGCATAGAGCACCGGCCCTGAAGTCAGGAGGACGTGAGTTCAAATGCGGCTTCAGACCAAACACTTGACCTGTACTAGCTGTGTGACCCTGGGCAAGTCACTTAACCCCAACTGCCAAAAAAAAAAAACAAAAAAACCCCACAAAAATAAAGGGAAGGGAGGCGGCGTCAGAATTCTGCATCTGGGAAAGAAAGAAGAGTGCTGGAGAGACTGACTCTCAGTCAGTGTCCCCGTTCTTTCATCTACCATCTCCCTCCACAGGTACCGTACTGATGAAGTAGAAGTGACTTGGAGGAACTGACCTCCTGAGGAGAGGGTCACACAGGGTCAACACCAAGGAAAACGTGAATGTGGGAACCTTCCCTCTGGTCACATGATGGATTTCAGAGTAGGTTTCCCATTACCTCTTCTAGAGAGCTGAGCTTCATCATCATCAAGCAGTCAAACATCTTTGTTTTTGTGTGTCTGTCACTAACATGGATTTCTCAGAACCCATGTGAATTGCCTCGTGCCAGGTATATAGAGGTACACTAAATAAATGCTTATTGATTTGACCAGCTGACTAAATAAAAGTGTTATTGACCAGAAAAGGTGATGACCAACTTCTTCAGGATGAGAAAGGAAATGTATTGAAAATACACAAAAAGGTTGTTTGACATCAGAAATTTGGCAACAGAAATGGTTGGATGTAAAGCTAAGGACTGGGGGGGGGGGGGTTGAACTGCCTTTCCTGGATATTTCTGAAGATGTTTGTTCATTGAAATCCTATTTGGGAGGAGCAGGGAGCTGGTTGTATAAATGGGGAGCAAAGAAGTCATCATTGCACATTAGCCCTAGATGTTTAGTTGAAAAAAAATTTTTTAATAGTTTTGAGGTGGTGGAGATCTGGGAGAGGGAACCCCTCTTTGAAGTTGTATACCCTGTTGTGGGCTTGGGAGGGGAGAGCTGGGAAGTCCTCCTAAAGTCCTCCTGGAGCTAGGACTGTGGTTTCCTGGGTCTTCTCTTCCTTCCTTTGTCTGCAGCTATCACTGGCAATGCAAAGTGTGTCCTATTGGTTTCCATGGATAAAGGTGATGGGGGCAGTCAAGCCCCAAGACAATATCTCCAACCATGCTATGTACAGGGTCCCAGGACAGACTGATCTTGGGGCCACAGGCAGAGGATCCTATTGTTGACATGTGGTGTCAGAAAGTAAGACAACACACTTTAGGTTTCTCTGGTTATTAGGGATTCCCCACACTAGTACCTGGGATCTATTTCTTTTGCCATTTGGCATCTTCCTAGACTCACATAATGATAAGGGCGGCCTCTTGGCAATATTCATTGCTGCAGGACTTCATGGAGACGCATCTGATGTACAGATTGTAGGGAGGGGAGGGGCAAATGAGTCAGAGATGAGCTAGTCATTGTGAAAAACTGATCATCCAGAGACCTAAATACCTTCCTTTGATTAGCCTACAGCTCGTGCTCAGAGATGTTCCCTAGAGGAGCAGAAGCAATAGAGGAGATTGAGTCCAGTTTTCTCTCTAATGGTAACTCCTGTAGCAGATGTGAGGCCACCAGATCTTCAAATGTCTTTCAGCTGCAGACATGGGAGGAAAGCTCAGGCTTAGCCCAAAGCAAAGGTAGTCTTTGCCATCCCACAGAATTCCCAGGTTCAAACACCACAGAGTGTCTGTGTTTTCTTGGTTCTCTGCGCTGTTTCACCATATTCCCTTTGGTCAGCTCAACCCTAGCCATTCCATTGAACACTAGAGTTACTCCATTTTCCCCTGGTTAGTCCCTAGTGCTACAGCTTTTTTTTTTTAAGCCCTATTTCAGCATCCTCTCACCCTCTATCTTCCAATGCAGCCTCTCTGGTTAAGTTGTAGGTCATCAGATCATAGCACATTAAGCCTCTCGGCTGTGTGAGAGAAGGTAAGACAAGAAAAAGAATACAGTAGAGTAGTTGGGGGGGTCCTGACCTTTTCTCCTTCAGTTTTCCTGTGAGTTCTAGAAGCACTTCCACCACCTGGAAACCTAGATGGACTCGTTTGAGGACAGAGTGAATCCTAGCAGAAGAAGAGACAATGGAGAGTATGTTGGGTGAACAGCTTGAACTCCCTGCCATTCCTCTTGTCACTTCCTCCCACTCACACAGTGGAGGACAAGCTATCCCTTGACCTGGAACATGGCTTCATGTTCCCCTTGTGCCTGGCTCACTCTGCGCTTCTCCTCTAGGCATCCAGGAGGGTTGCTCACAAAAACTCAAACAGGCTTCGGGCTCATTTCTTCTGTCGAGTCAGCAGATAGGGGATAAGTACTGTCAACCCTGTAAAGCAGGAGAGAAGAGATGGACAGCCTGTCTTCTCCATGCCACATTCAACTCCAATATTACAGAACAGAAACGGGGGAAATTGGATGAGAGATAAAATGTGACAGGCTCTGAGATAATGAATGCGCCCATAAGAGGGGAGATTGGCATGAGGAGTAGCATAAGAGATAAGACTAGCTTTGGCTATGATTGGGAATCCAGTGAAGCCCCTTGATCTAGTTTGTCTTTGAAGTTTAAGGGGTGGGCTCATACAGTGAAAAGCTGTTAATTCTGTACTCCCTTTTGACTACCTCATCCTTCTCAGAATTGTCCCCTACCTGAAAAAGGTGGGAATATGGGGATCCCTACCTCTATCATCACTCAGCCAGTATACATCCACTGCCTGCTGGCCCTGCTTGGACTGGAACAGGGTTCAGGGCTGCTAGTCTGGTGGTGTGCCCAAGAGGAGGCAGGTGGGGAGAAACTCAGACTACCCCCTGTCCCTAGCAGGTCAATTGCCCCCAACCCAGTCCCATAGATTTCCCATTCTCCCAAGAGAATTCTGGGAAAGATAACCATATACTTTCTATCCTAGTGGATTACTGAGTCACAGTTGCATTTTTTTCCCTTCTGTGACCTTGGCATCCTATTCTTGTGTAGTTGCCCTTTTCCCTACCCACTGCTATTCCGTCTGCCTACCTGCTCTGGATTTGGCAGTCCCCACCTCTTTCTCCAAGGCATCCATTCCTTCAGAGTCCAAAAACACCGAATCCACCCGTGGAAGGGCAGGTAGGAGAGCAGAAGAACAAGTTGTCATGATGTCACCTCCCTAAACTCCTTTTTCTTCCCCACCTCCACCCCCACCCAGATTTCTACCTTCTGAATAACCAAATTCTTTCAAATGAAAGAGGAATCCTGTGTACTGTTTGGGTGACTCCAAGTATGAGTCGGAAAGATAAGAATATGTGGACAGTAGGATTTGGAAGGACCTTATGGCAAATTCAGAGACTCTGCTCCTCCTGACCATACCAAGCCTTAGACTGACCCCAAATTATGCTCTCCTCCTTCTCCAAAAAATACACTTAAATTTTCCTTTCCTTCCCCTGAAACCAGTCTCAGGAAAGCCTAATTTATAGACAGAGAGGAGATGTGGAACTAAATCTACTCCTCTTTGAATTCTGGCATCTAATTCCTTTCCATCCTGAGTCTGGCTCATTGTGCTGACTGGAATATACTCTTTTTTTTTTTTTTAGGCAATTGGGGTTAAGTGACTTGCCCACGGTCACACAGCTAGTAAGTGTCCAGTGTCTGGTCTGAGGCCAGATTTGAACTCAGGTCCTCCTGACTTCGGGGCCAGTGCTCTATCCACTGCACCATCTAACTGCCCTGGAATATACTCTTTTTATTCCACATCTAATCTCTTCATTACTAATCTCTGACCCTCCAATTCCTTGTATTCCCTAATGTCCTCCCCTGTTTACTCCGGCCTTGGCTACAGGGGTCACACTCAGTCCCCTTGGCAGGCAAAGAAGACAGACTTTATAGTGGTAATCAAAGGCATTACTAATGAGGAAGGAGAAGAGACAGTTACTGAAGGTATAGGAACTGATGGAAGCACCCCTCACTGGGGTCACCTTCAGTTCATTGTCCTGGAGGATCACCATGATCATGTCCTCTACTACCTCCTGTCCCCAAGCCCCATCTCCCCACCATATTGAATGTAGGGTGTGCAGTTGGGATCTCTTCCCCCCACACTCACTGCAGTCCTCTATAGCAGGTGTGGGCACCTCTTGCCAATCATGCTTATATCCCAAGACTAGCACATTGGGTTTCAGCTGGCACAGACCTGAGACTTGGGAGAAGAGGCAATAAAAAGATGAAGGAATGTAGGAGGCAGCATGATGAGGATGAGAGATATGGTAGTTCTATGAAGAGGTGAGAGTGTTAGTCCTTAGCACTCACCTGCATGAGACTCTGTGCCCCAGCTCGAAGCTCCAGTGCAGAGATGGCTGTGTAAAAGGAATGGATCTTCCGTGCATTCAACCCTTTCACATGGTCCTCTGAATCCTGAATGTCTCGGGTCTCCTAAAGGTCCAACAGAGCTTGGGGGTTAGGAGGTCTTCTGATTCAAATCTAACCTTAACTTCACTGTCCTGAGCTCAGATGACAAACATTTGTCCTTTTTACCTAGAAATAAAGTCATTGTTCTACCCCAGTACCTTTTATTCAGTACTTCTATTTCTTTTCCTACATCCCATGTCTCCATTTACCGAGGCTACATTCCCATACATCATAAGACTGATCTTGGTAAAGGCGTCCACAAAGTTCATCAGAGCTAGTCGTTAACTGGTTGGTCCAGTCATTACCAAACACTGAGAGGCCTGGGAAGAGAAAGGCAAAAATGGCATTAACTAATGAGCTATTTGCCCCTTCTATAGTTAACTTTAGAAAGATGTGGAAAGAAACCTATGGAGAAACGTAAGGGCTCTTCCCTATTACAACCGGTTAGAATGAGACTTGAAGCCCTGGTGTCCTCTACCTTCCCTCTCCCTTCCTCCCTTCCCTCATTGTTACTAAATGGTCATGGATTACTCCTACTGGAGTCTCTCTCCCTGATAATTCCTCACCTTTTATCTCCCTCCCTTTTCCCTCCCCACAGGTTCTCTGCAATTTAGTATCCCTCCCTGAAGGAGTATCTCACCAAAAGTTCTCAACATGATCCTGTACATTGGGCAGACTCACTGAGTAGGTCAGAGCTGTGTGATAGGCATAGCCAGCCTGGACTGAGGAACCCCAATTCACATTTGTGAATATGGGACAAATGGTCAGAGAGCTGACCAATGTAGAGTGAAGTGGGGGAACTGGAATAGCAAAGTCACCAAGGTGGTTGGGTTGGGTGTGAGGCTCGGATGCTACCTCTCTCTAGCCCAGGGATTGGCAAAACATTGGCCCTAGGACTAATACCTGCCTGTTTTTGTCAAGCCAGGCCCTTGACCTAGGAATGGTTTTTACATTTTGTAAAATATAAAAACCATTCTTAGCTCAAATGTTATACAAAAACAGGCAGTTGGCTAGATTTGGCCCTCCTACCCTAGTTTGCCCACTCCTGTGTTAGCCTATACACAGACACAGACACAGACACACACACAGACACACACACACACACAATTCAGGATTTCCTGTAGTGGGAGTAGTCCTCTGCTCTTCTCTCACTTCTTACTTGATGCCCTATCCCACTGCTACCTTTCCACTCTCCACACCCTTCCTTACCAGGCTTCCTGTGGAAGCTGTAAAGTAGCAGAAGAAAAATGGGTACTACAGCTATCAGTGCTGGCCACCAGGTGAGGAGAAACATGATGAGCAGGCAAGGCGGGAAACCCAACAGGGATAGCCAGGGACTATACTGTTGGAATGAAAGGCACCAACCTAAGCCAGAGAGAAGAACATAAGCTGTCCCTCACTTTTAATCCCCAACCTTTATTCAGACTCCCAAGTTTCTATTTCAACTCACCAGACACCCCCTGGGTCCCAGTTCTGTTCCCAGCACCCTCCTTCCATTTTCTGCCTCCCAAATCGGCTCCCTAACCTAAGAGATTCCCAACCCCGGCCCTGCAGTCATCAGGTGAGTGAGTAAGCGAGGTGTGAAAACAACTGAAGTTGACAAGGGCATAGGAACAGAGGAAGAGTTTGGAGATAATGGGAGCAATGGTGTTCAGCTCTGCTTTAACAGAGAAATAAGAAAGCTAAGTGAGAGCATCCGAAGTGAGGGACACAGGAATTAAGTAGGCCTGTAAATCTTGGGGAATCCTCCTCACAGCTTCTCTAATAGACTAAGTCATTTTCTTAAATGCTAGGGAACTGGAGAAAGGGGCAATAGGGGTGGTGGATGAGGAAAGGAATGGGAATAAGCATTTATTAAATGCTTGCTATGTGCGAGCACTGTGCTAAGCACTTTACAAATATTAGCTCATTTGAAGGAAGGGGTATGGATCCTGGAGAACTTGGGGGAAAGGGAGAGGAATGAACTACATAGAAGAGGAACAAAATAATGCCTGGGGCCCTGATGGGATGAGAATGAAGCCTACAGCAATGATGAAGCAAGTACCCACGTAATGGCTCGTTGTTCTTGCTATATCCCTTCCCAAAAAAGCCAATGACAGGGTACAGCTTTTCGGGTCACAGACACTGAAGAATTGGGTGGTTTAGCAAGAGCTAAGACTGGGAGCCCAGATGGTGGGAAAAACCGAACCTCTCACCTCCTTTACAAGGGTTGGGAAGGATTTGTAAAAGCACGTAAATGAGAAAGCAAGGGCCAGAGATCCTGGTGTAGGGGAAGTGTTGTGGGGAGGGGAGGAGATGGAGAGAGAACTCATGGAATCTCAAGGATGGACTAGGCCCTAGACCAAGAGACATCCTTAGAAGAATGTGGAAGAAGAATGGGAGGCAATGGTGTGCTAGCACAGGCTCCCATAGGTTCCTGAGAGCCTGTTAAATTTTCAGTGTGAGTATTTGCTCCTTGGAAATTGACATACGCAACAAAATTAGGGCTTGATTGATTGTTTTGTTGATTGTCTAGATTTAAGAAAATGTAGGAGAAAATGTTAATAATGCAGATTGAATTTGAAGTGTGTCAATATTGTATGTTTTTTTAAAAGTTTTCAGAGAGCTGATTGTTAAACATCTACTAGCATACCACTGACTAAACATTTTCGGATGGGTAAATCAGGATAGAATGAATATCCTGGGGAACCTTGAGGGGAATGGGGGAAGGGGAAGTCTCAAGCATTCTGCCTCAGTCCTGGTGAAGTCATTTATGGGTTGTGTATGTATAAGGACTTCAAATATATATATATGTATGTATATGTATATTTTTAAAGAACCAACCAGCTGGAGCCATATCCACCCCCATCCCTTTTCTATCTTCATCTCTTATCTGACCCCCACCCCAAAACACTGCAGGAGGGAGGCACATCCCTAAAGTGTGCCAATGGATGGCCCCTACCTGACTGTAGGGGCCCCACACTCCCCACTTCTCCTGCCCCTTCCAAGGTTCTGACTGACCTGGAAGACTTTGAGAGCAGAGACAAAGCAGAGGATAGTGTAGCACTGAAGATTCCAGCAGACTGCAGAGGACTGAGGGCAGGCACTATGCTCATGGTCTAGAGAAATAAGGTTGGTCAGGAATAGAAATTGAAGTCCTTAACCATTCATTTTCCCCTTATCCCCTCCCCCCTCTCAGCTTTCCCCAATGTTCTCAGACCAGAAGAACTTCTGCTGCTAATCAATGATCTCAGTGTCATATCCTCAGTTGAGCATCTCTTTTCTTCCTGTCAGTCAGGTTAGACAGTCTGTAGGTACAGGAGCCAAGTTCCTGACAGCTGCTAAAGTCCCAGCCACATGCACACTCTGGCCCTGCACAACTCCTGTTCCCCACACCCATATCCATCATATTCCTTGAAGCATCTCATACCACACAGGAGCCTGAGGATACAGATCCCTTTCCAGGGAGAGGCCCCTACCTAAGGGCAGCCATGCAGACAAGGTCCAAACCTCTCCCAGAACTGGAATTCCTTCTGCAGTATCCCTGGCAGAATGACCCAGCCTTAGCATGTCTGCATCTTAATAATAAAAGAATACCATAAGATGATATGTAAATCATTAATTAGTTGATAGATAGGAGTATATGATCAAAGAATCAATGGGTACCACTCTTGCTCATTACATTCTCTTCACTCCAGTCTCTATTTCTTCTGAGACCAGGTAATTTTGCAGGAGAGGCAGGTGAGAAAGGTCTTACCAATGATGGCAGTGATGCCCAGGTAACAAAGGGTAGTTCAAAAGATGGCGAGGAGGGTCCCTTTAGGGATGGCTGTGGTTGGGTCCTAGAGGCAAAAGCAAAATACAAAGAGGAAAGAGGAAGCAAAGTAGGAAGAGGAAATAGGAAAGTAGATTACATCTTCACAATACATACACATATGCCTACACATAGGGTTCCCACTTCCCCCACTATCTTTCGCAGGCCCCAGCTCACCTTGAGGTCTCCAGAAATATTAGCCCCAGCCAAGGTCCCTGTGGCTGAGGGGAAGAAGATGGGGAACATTCCAAAGAAGATGCCATCTGGACTTTGCCATGGTGGGAGCAGATTTTCCAGAAAAATATTCTCTAAAGAGAGGGTCCTGGAAAAGCAGAAGAAAGGCTATGAAGAAAACTTCAGCCCAGTGTCCTTCGGTTTACTCCTTCACCCAGTATGTCACAGAATCATAAATTTAAGATCAGAAGAGATCTTAGAAGTCATCAAGTCCAACCCCTTCATTTTGCAGATGAAGAAACTAAGGCACAGGGAAGTTAAGTAACTTGCCAGGGTCACACAGCTTGTCAGTTTTGAGATCTGATTCAAATTCAGAGTCTTCAGACTCCAGGTCTAGCATTCTATCCATGGCCACCTTGTGGCTTCTGGTCTTGTTTTTCCTCCAACCCGGCTTAGTTCTAATGATTTGCTTCAAACCAGGAGGAGTGAACAACCTTGTAAGCAGATCTCTGCCTTCATACTTCCCGGTACCCTTCCCTTTCTCCTCACTTCTGTGCCCAAAGAAGCCAGTGGCACGTCGGTTGGTGTTTGTAGGAAGCAGGGTCCGGATGATGTAACTGATAAAGGAGAGGAGAATAAGGAGGAAGAAAATAATTTGGGCCTGGAAGACCATGGCAAAAGGAAATATGTAAAAAGGGAAGGTAAGAAATGTTTTTGTTCAGTTGTGGAAACAAGTACTTTTGCTTCCCTCTAATAAACAGCTTCATTTAAATTCCATCCTAACTCTTCTCCAATCAATGTCTTCTTGTCCCATCTAATAAGACCCCACACTGACAAACAGCAGGCTTTGAGGAAGCTGGTCAGAAGGGTGTTCTACTCCCTCCCTGAGATTCAATGGCCCCCTCCCACTCTGAAGAGATCAGCCTCCAGACTGAGGGGAGATGCCATGCCTCCTTCCATCACAGGCCTCTTGTTCCAAGCTCTCCATTTTAGTTCCCTAAGGCTGTGCACTACTTTGACTCAATTCTCTATATTTCCTTTGCTGACCCCTCCCTCTTTTTTAAGACCCTCCCCATTTTAAGCCTAGCCCTCTCTGAATTCATCTAAGGGCTTTCCCCTCAGCCCTTACATCTCCCACCCTACTCTCTACACCCTCCTCCAATAAGCCCCAGAGTGCCTGCCTTGGATTCCCACTCCATGCTGGCCAGTGAGACACCTAGCAGGACCATCACAGTCACAATGCTCATGATCCTCAATTTGTCCTCTGGCTCAACCTGATGCAGCTGCACCCCATGTTCCTAGTGTGGGTGGGGAGGGGGAAGGGAGAAGCGAGGCATGGGGAGGGTCACAGGTGGTCCTACGAGTAGGGAAAGTCAGGGGGGCCCACAGGGGAAGAATTTCAAGATGCTCTCTGTCAAGGAGAGGAGCACTTCTGGAAAGAAAGAAGAGAGGGCGGGATAGTGGAGTGGAATGGAGTGAGGTTGGGCACCATACCCGGAGCAAGTCACAGAAAGTCTCAGCAAAGCCCACGGTATGTACAGCCACAGCCACAGGCACAGCATTGGAGGTGAAAATGAGGCCGATGGAGCCTCCGAGCTCTGGACGCAGACTTCAGGAGATCAAAAATTATGTGCCTCCTGGTGAGAGAGTGAAGAAGGAACCAAAGATCAGGAAAGAAGAAAAGAGAAGATCAGGAACCAAGCAGCAATTCATTCCCCAGCCGAGCATAGTAGGAAGGAAGTTGGGCTGGTCTAGGGTGTCCAGAGTTGAATTCGGATTGCTGTTTTCAATGAAATTGGCAGATCCCATGGATAGGAGGAGGGATTGGTTAGGGGAGGAGACAATGGAAAGAGGGGAGAAAGGACAGCAGACTCACTAGCTTTGACTTTGCCATTTCTAGAAATGGCAGAGATGGATAGACCAGTGATGGTGGTGACCAAGGCAGAGAGAAGAATGATGGCCCATGTGAGTCCTGGAAGAGTCTTAATTAACATCTTTGGATTCTAATGCTCAGTACATCCTTTCCTCTTAAACTGTACCTCCTCTACTATCGAAGTCCTTCTATTGGTTCATACCTATGCCAGCCTGGGCTGTGATCTAGGGTAGCTGAGGGTAGAGGATGATGCCCCAGGTGTTGAACATGTAGCACATCTGGGGGGAGAAAACCCTGGTGAAAGATCAGCAGTCTTCCCTCAAGAATCTATGTCCCCAGTCTACTCTGACTATTTCCCTGCAAGCCATCTAACTTCTCTTGGCTTTAAATTTCCCACAGCCCACAGCTTTTCCTATTCCCTGTATGACTCTTCAGCCCTCTTCATTCCCCATATTGCCTTCTCCAGTCCTTACCATGACTCCCATGACACAACCAAAGAGCATAGGACTCCTGCCAGCTTGGCCACCAGTCTCAGCACTTTGCTATTCTTTACTTTTCTGGGCAGGCTCTTCTCTCTGTTCCTCAGATAAGGGGTTAGCCCCCTGTTCCTCTACCTAAGAAGACTTACACCCACTCCTCTGAACTGGAAGTCACTTTGCCCAACAGTCCTCAGGGTATCAGTGACTAGAATCAGCCTCATTTAGGAGAAAAAAATAATTATCTCTTGGAGAAGATAAGGAAGGGTCTCCCAATGAGGACAGGAGTATATATGGGGTAACAGGGTTAAGAATGGGTGTGGGAGACTCACAGGACTGAAGTGGGTGTGAAATGAGGGTTTTAAGGAATACAGACCTTCCTAAGTACGAGGAGGAGGGGAGGAAGGAGATGGAGAGGCCCAGACATATGAAGGTGAGATTTGGAAATTCTCACCCAGGCCTGGCTTCAAAGTGCTTCCAGGGAGGGCCTATTTCGACAGAGGCGAGGAGCTGCAGAGTTGAATAAAAGTCATAGCAGGGCCCAGTGTCTAGAACCTTGTAGGCTGGAGTTGGGCTCAAGTTGCCTGATGGGAGGTCAGGTGCACGAAGAGGTCCATCCTCTTCCAGTTGGGTGCCCAAAGCACAGGGGGTTTGGTTCCATCTTGGAGAGGCCATGGGAGGAGTCCAGAAGTGGGGAGGTTGAGGAGGAGAAGGGGAAGTTGATGCAGACAGAAGAGATGGCCACTATCTTTCAACAGGGTCCCTCTGAGTCTTGGCTCCAATACCCAAGATAACCTGGTTACCTTGAGGTTCACAGGATTTATTTCCTCTTCTGGTCCAGCACAAGGCTAGGATGCTCTGGCCCCCAAGGGATATTGAAGGGGTCAGAGTAGAGGAATCAGGCCACTAGTGTCAGGACTTCGGACTCTAGACAATAAGATAAGGAGCCTGGGCCAGTCTATGACTAGACAGCTACCCAGATTACTACCTCCCTCATCCCCAGGTACTCTTCAACCTCACCGGAGCTGGAAGCCTCAACCCTATTCGTGTTCCCCTGCAGCTCTGTCTGTCAGGTTACCCTGTCCAATCAGGCCCAAACTTTTATCCTAGACCAGTTTTCCTCCAGCAGACTTTGGCTTGTCCTCTCAGAATCTGAGGGTGGGGGAGGGGCATCACTGGCCCCCTTCCCAAACCCACTTCTCCTCACCAACATCTGACTCAGAGAGTTTCTGGGGGATTTGGGTGGAATTTTACAACCCCAAGAGCTCCATCTTTGAAGCTACAGAAAGGTTGTAAAGAGGAGCTCTGGGGAGATCCCAGAGGTATTGGCTCCAGCTTGGGAATCCCAAAGTCTTGAGCCTCAGCCAGTCTCACGACTGATTCCTGGGGCCAAGATTGAAGTTATGCCCCATACACCACTCCCCATTCGAGAGTCAGTCAGTCCTGGGTGGGAAGAAGGAGGAGGGAAGAAGAAGGAAGAGACACAATCTTTGAACATTCCAGCAGGTAGAAGGCTTTAGAACACCTATCCCTTCCCACAAGGCCTTGGAGATGGGTCATTTTGGACCTGCAGCCCTGAACCCTGCCCTCTACACCTCCTCCCCATCAGTCTCTCAGGCTCCTGGTCCACCCTGGGGATAGAGCTGGCTTCTGTTTGCCCTTTTCAGTAACATTGTTTCTTCTTGTATCCTAGCTTTATAGAGAACAGAAAAGTCAGTACCAAAGCTTTGGGAAATCGACTCTGAAATACCTCTTCTCCATTCGTTGTAGGCCCCTTCTCCTCAGACCAGACCCCATCTTCTTTCCTTTGCTCTCTTTCCTGTAGCCCCAGCACAGTCCCCCAGCTCGAAGCCTTCCTTGAGTTCTTCTCACTCCTCCTCCTTCAGTCTCCATCTGCCACTGAGTTTTCTATGTTCAGCTCCCCTACTCAAGTGGAAGAGAGGTCATCTGGGGACTAGGCCCTGGGGATTGGGTGTCCAAGCCCGGGCAGCGGTAACCTCAACCCCTTACCCGTCTATAATTAGCCCATTCAGGGCGACAGGCCAGGGTGGCCCCACAAGTTCCCTCTCCCTGGGGTTCAGAGATAAAGCCCAGCACCCAGGTGAAGAGGATGGAGGAGCTTGTGAAGGAGACCGGCTATAGAAACTGACTAAGAACAGGTCTGGGGAGCAGCAAGGGAGAGGGCAGTGGTTGGACAAACACTGAAGTCCTCAAGTCCGGGAAGGGTCCCTATAAAATTCTCTGCCTCCGTGGGGCTCCGATTCTATCTCCTTTCTGTAAGATAGCCTGGCTTCCACAGAAAGGCTGAGAAGAGGGAACTGTCCTGGAGCAGGGCAGAGGGTAGGGCTGGGGTGTGTGTGGCAGAACGCCTGAAGTACGACGTTTGGTACTTCTCGGACTTGGTGGGTGGTGCCGGACATGGAGGTGCATTTTACCTACGTTCGCGGACTTAGCAGCTCAAGGTTTTACAGGCGCTTAATCTCGTCCCTCTCCCACCTACCCTCAGACCCAACTAGCGTCAGACCATGAGTTCCCCAGACACGGTGATCTGCCGCCCTGGCGAGGGGCTACTTTCCCCTCAGTCCCGGAAGGACTACCCCAGCCTCCCCTTACCAGCCCAGCGAAGCCCCACCTGGCCGTCCTCCCCAGACGAAGACTCAAGTCTGCTCCCCTTCCCTCTGGAAGAACCCAGTCACCGGGCCTCCGCCTCTGGAGAGCTTCCCTCTCCCACCTTGTCCCTGGAGGAAGGTGAAGAAGGGGAACCCCAGGTGCTGGTGAGTGAAGAGCACCCAGGCCAGTTCTTTGCAGAAGCTCGACGGCTTCGGGACTTGAGCCTGCTGCTCGATGAAGAGGTAATAGTGCAGGGTCGAAGGTACGCAGTGCATGGGGTGGTCCTGGCTTCTGTCAGCAGCTTCTTTCGCTCCCGGCTGCTGGGGAATGGGTGTCCACGACCCCCCATACAGCTGGATGTAACCCCCCGGGGCTGGGAGGCCGTGCTGACCTTCGCCTATGAGGGGGTGGTAGGTCCCGCCCCTTTGGGTGATGTAGTGGCAGTGGCGGAGGTCCTGGGGGCCCCTCGGGTAGCGGCAGCTGCTGTAAAGAGACTGGAGGGGGACCAGAACCAAGGAGACAAGGAGCAGGAGGCACCAGATAAAGCTGAGGAGTTGAGAGAGAATCTGAGTAGCATCGAGCAGCTCTATCGTGAGGGTGTTGGCTGTGACCTGGAGCTGGAAGCAGAGGGCTGCCACCTGAAGGGTAAGCACCTGGACAGGACAGAAGGAGGTGGAGGAGGAAGAAATGAGGAGAGGCCAAGGCAGCTCCCGACAGAATTCTGTGCATTCACTATATCCAAGCGGAACTAGGTTGCAAAAGATGTAAAGGGCATATGTAGACTTTTTTTGGGTGTATATATAACTTCCTTGTGCTCTCCATATATAAAGGTGAGCTGCCAAGGATTTACTGTCAAATAGAACATGCGCTTTGAAGTTGTTTTTCCCATACTGGTGATAGATTTACACTGACTCTGCACTCTTTCTATCCCTGTCCTCTCTTGAAATAAACAACATTCATTTACAAGACAGGTGGCTGGGGTTAGTAGTACAATCTGTGGTACAAGTAGCAGCCAATTGGGGCAAAGAAGGATAAACCTAAGACCTTGGCCTTATTGGTCTGGCCATGCTCTGGTCAGACACAATACTAATGGAAGGAATAATATGGAAAGGTGAATGTCAATTGACACATATACTTGACACTCATTGGCAGACCTGGGTCTCCTACAGTTGCTAAGCAGATTTTCTTGCTCTGAATTCAGTTTAGTGTTATCCTAAAGCTCCCATTCCAAAATGCCCTGGTGCTCAAGATCATACTCTTTCTGACACATTTCTTATCACTAACGGAGCCAGCGACAATAGGTAAAATATTAGTTAGTTTGTTCTATGAAGCCAAGGAATAAGGAATGCTGGTGAAACTGCTCATGGATGTGACTTATGCCAGTGGCACATGACAAGAACACAGCCACCTAGGCCTCAGTAGATTTCAGAAGACCTTGAGGGCTGGATCTTTCATTTTGTCTCTGGCCCCTAATGCTTGGTACAGATTCCAAAGGACCAAAAAAATGTAGTGCTAGGATCCAGAATAATAGAACTGAGAGGTGGAAGGGGTCTAAGACATCATCTAATTCAATCTTATTTTCCAAGTGAGAAAACAGAAGCTTTAAGGGGAAAGAAAACTTAGGTGCTTAGGATCTCACAAAGAATTAGTGGCAGAACCAAGGCAAACCACAAACTCAGGTTTTCTGATGTCTAGTCTGCTGCTCTTTTCATTATATTACATTGTCTTCAGAAGATAATTCTAGATTAGGCACATTTGTGTGGCATATTGGTCTATTAAGCAATGGTATTTACAATCTAATTCAATAATTAAGTGCCCACACATGTAAGCTGAGGCAGCTAGTTGGGGAAGCAGGTAGGGTACCTGGCCTGAAATCAGGAAGACCTGTGTTCAAATCCAGCCTTAGACACTTACTAGCTACATGACCCTGGGCAAGTCACTTAACCCTGTTTACCTCAGTTTCTTCATCTGTAAAATGAGCTGGAGAAGGAAATGGCAAACAACTCCAGTATCTCTGCCAAGAAAACCCCAGATGGGGTCATGAAGAGTTGGAAATGACTGAATAACAACAAATATGTAAAGTACCACACTAAGCATTAGGGGCCAGAGACAAAATGAAAAAGATCCAGCCCTCAAGGTCTACTGAGGTCTACTGAGGCCTGTGTGACTGTGTTCCTGGCACCTGACACAGGCATAAGTCACATCTGACACCCTGAGCAGTTTCAGCAGCATTCCTCATGTATCCAACTGAACAGGACAGGATTACCAGCAATGAGGTCTGGGAATAGGACCAACTCACTGGCACTAAAGTAATGCTCACTGCAGAACATATTCAATGAGTGCAGAAAGTTTACTGGCACACCACCTAAGGAGCTGTTGTATGTCAGATCCAGAGGAAACCTGCTCAACTACTAGCTGACTCCTTGAACTTAGGCATACCTACCTACTTAGTCTAAACCTGTTTCATCATCTTTAGAATGGGACTGGGAAGAAGATGGGGAATTAGAGACCTGAGATGGTCTCTAATAACAATAGCCAGTGAGGAAGTTATAGGATGAAGTGGAGAGAGCCTAGGACCTGGAGTTAGGAAGATCTGAGTTCAAATCATGCTTCAGCCATTAGTAACTGTGTGATCCTGGGCAAGTCACCGAAACTCTCAGACTCAGGGAATGGGGATAATAACAAAGTCTACCTCCCTGGGTTATTGTGAGGATCCATGCACTTCTGATCTCAAAGAATTATTCTAAAGTAGTATAGTTCACAAAGCATTCTAGAGTAGTATAGTTCACAAAACATTTTCCTCACAACTGCCCTATGGGAGAGGTAATGGAATGCATTATTATACCCATTTTACAAGGAGGAAGCTGAAGCTCAGAGACATTAAGTGACCTGCCCAGGGTCACACAGCTATTAAGTGTTGGAGATGGAATTCAAATTAGGGTCTCTTCTGACTCAGCTCTAATATTCTAGCAGATGAATTACCATTTGGTCAGGCAGATGGAAGAATGCCATTAGGAAAGCAGAGTCAGTGTGTGATTGTACAGAGAGAATTGTATTTGGAGTCAAGGGACCTGAGGTCTCATCCCAATCTTGCTCCTTGTTATCTAGGTAACTTTAGAGCACCAAAGTTTTATGATCCTCCAGTTTTCTCTCATCTGCAAAATGCTCATTGTATTATCTGTCCTATCCACCCCTCACTGATGTTATGAGGTCCATAGGAGGTAAAGTAGCTGAAAATACTTTCAAACTAAAAAATTGCTTTCTATGTAAAGATTCTGTATTATTAGACTGCGCCAAGGCAGAGTTCAAGCCATGTTAACTACTTCTAGACTTCTGGGTGACAATAGAGGCAGGTAGACATAGGAGCCTGGAGTATAGCAATCGATCCCTGGAAGAAAGGCAACTTGTTAAACAAAGGTTTGACTGCAGAACTGAGTCAGAAATGCAAATAGCCAAGTAGCAAGAGATGCAAGGATGACAGTAGAGTCCGCTATCAAGCAAAAAGCAATCTTCACAAGGTACAAGGTGGGCACAGGGCTGATGGCCGTATCCTTGTCTTTTCAACCACATCTACCCACCCTTGTAGCAGTTACTGCCAGTGAGGAACTCTATTAGAAATAAAAAAAAAGAATAATGTTCTGTTCCAGGTGACAGCTTAGGCTCTTTAGCTGGATTGGGACATGGGGGTTTCTATAGTCTACAGGGGATAGTATAGGAGATTGGCACTGAAAATAGGTAGAGCTACCAGGGTCAGGGTGAGGCCTGGTACCTGTTCTGACTCCATGTCCTTCCAAATTTCCTATGCCCACAGTTCACCGCGTGGCTCTGGTCTGTGGGAGTGAGTTCTTCGGGGCGATGCTGCTGAGTGGGATGAAGGAATCCCAGGGCTCGGTTGTCGTCCTGCGCACAGTCTCTGCCCCAGACCTGCAGCTACTTGTCTCCTTTGCCTACTCAGGGGTGCTGCAAACAAACTGGCCAGGGCTCCTGAGGGCCACCCAGACTGCCCTGCAGTACCAAAGTGGCTCCTGTTTGGCCTTGTGCCAGAGAGCCCTGGCCCGGGGCCTTAACCCTCTTCGATGCTTAGCCTTGCTTCCTGTGGCTGAAGCCCCAGGACTTGAGAGACTTTGGGACAAAGCCCATTACTACCTCCTCAACCATCTGCCTGCTGTGGCCTCCTGCCCTACCTTCCCAGACCTGCCTTCTCCCTTTCTAGCCAACCTACTGGCCAGTGATGAGCTGCATATAGAGGAAGAGTTTGAGGCCTTTGAGGCGGCATGGCGCTGGTTGGCAGCAGATCCCGTTGGCAGAGAGCCTGAAGCTGAGACTCTGCTGCACTGCGTCCGTTTTGGTCGTATGTCCACCCGGGAACTGCGGCTTGTGAGAGCTGCTGGACTACCCCCACCTCTGCCCTCGTCCTTGCTGCACCAGATTCTGGTGGAGGCAGAGGTGCCAGGCCGAGAAAGGAGGCGGGAGCCTGATCGGGCACTGGTGGTGATTGGTGGAGATGGGCTCACTCCAGACTTAGCTCAGAGTCAGCCATCCCGAGGGGTGTGGTGGGCACGGGCCTTCTGCAGTGGTGTGGGGCTGGTACATACAGTGGAGTGGGGCAGGTTACCTGCCTTGCCCCCTCCTGGGCGCTTCCAACATGGTGCTGCCAGTCTCACTGGGAGTGAACTATACGTCTGTGGAGGGCAGCATTACTACAGCTACTCAGACACCTTGGCCTCAGTCCTCAGGTATGGGAGAGAAGATGTAGTTGGGGTAGAGTGCAGATCAGACTAGTCCTTGTTGCATAGGTGCCTAACATTTTTCTGGGGCTGCTTCAACCAGGTGGAATCTTTGTTGCAGTAGCCAGATATCTCCACAGTTCTCCATCTTCCAGCCATACTTACCTGGCAGGAAATTACTTAGGGAGGGCTTTGAGGGTAAAGTAGAAGGCAACAAAGTACCAGAAATCTGGTGAGTGCCAGATCTGGAGAGCAGAACTCAAGTATGAAAGTCGGGATATCTCTGCTGGGAGGGGAGGGGGAAAGGACGACTTGCTGATTCAGGAGTAGTATATAAGCACCAGAGCTAACTCTACCCATCTCTCTTTCCTGTGTGTGTTCATAGGTGGGCACCTGGCCAAAGTAACTGGGAAGAGTTGGCTCCAATGTGTCAAGCTCGATCCTTCTTCCCGCTGGTGGCTCATGATGGACATCTTTATGCTCTGGGTGGGAGAAACAATGGGGCTCCCTTGGATTCAGTAGAGGTCTACGATCCCAAGCTTGATGCTTGGAGGTGAGCAAGAGAGAAGATCAATCAATCAGCAAACCTTTATTAAGTGCCTACTATGTGCTGGAGAAATTGATGATGGAGAGAACAGGCTTCTGCTAAAACTATAGCAACTACTTACCCCTAAACAAGATGACCTTTTATTACTTCACTGTCAAAATGCACAGATAGCAATCTGTCCTTTCAGTAAATTCTTAGTCTCATAGAATCTCAGAGTTGTGAGGGGCCTCAGGAATTATCTAGTCCAATTCCTTTCTGAGCAAGAATCTTCTTATTTCCTTATTTGTGCCCTCTGTCTGCTAGGGATAATGGGATGCCCAGACTAATCCGCATCCATATCATGGTGCCCACATTTAACTGGCCCAAGATAGTCAGTGGCATGAAGGGGCTGATGGGATCTAGAGTAAGGCAGGGGGGAGGAGGCCCAGATACAAGAAGGAAGTTGAGGATATCAGCTGTCCTTCTCCACTGAATCAGTCCTTTGTTCTTCCTACAGGACAGCACCACCCCTCCCCACACCTTGCTTTGCACATGCAGCCTCTGTGCTGGATGGTCAGGTCTATGTGAGTGGAGGCTTCAATGGGACTGGTCAATATCTGGCCTCCCTCTTTAACTACAACCCTACTCGCAAGCCATCATGGATCCTGCTGAGTCCCATGAAGACCCCTCGGGCAGGTCATGTCATGGTGGCACTCGGTGGACGACTCTATGTAGCAGGAGGTCTGGGTGAGGCTGGCGACCTGCTTAGTTTTGAAGCCTATGAGCCCAGGACTGACACGTGGATGAGCCTGGAACCCCTGCCCTCCCCCCATGTGGGAGCTGCTGGAGTCTCTCTTCAAGGGGAGATGCTAGTTTTGGGGGGCTATAGCCACCGAACATATGCTCTCTCCCACCTCATCCATGCATACTGCCCTGGCCTAGGCCGCTGGCTTTGTCTGGGAACCTTGCCCCGGCCCCGAGCTGAGATGTCTGCTTGTGTCCTTCATCTGTCCCCAGTATAGCTGCAAACCCCAGGAGCTGACTTAGCTCAGACTTAAATCCATAGTGGGGCAGAGAAAGGAGTGGGATAGGAGGAGAAAAAGACGGAGAATCAGGATGTGCAGACTGAAGATGTGGGGGAGAAGGGAAGAAGCACTTGAGGAAAGAAAACCAATAGGTTATATGATGAGGGGATAAACTTTACAGTGGGGTTTCTTAATTTTTTGTGTGTGTCATGGACCCCTTTTCAGAATAATATTTCTAAATACTGTACACAATACAAAATACATAAGAATACAAAAGAAACCAATTATATATACAGTTAACAAAATATTTTTTAAATGGACTTGTGGAACCCTAAGAACCCCTGAAGTAGGGAAGTAAAAAGCACCTAAGTTAGGAGGCAACAACTTTGTTCAATTCCAACCAAGGTTTATGGACCTAACAATAGGCCTATGTATGGCACAGGTCATGGTATCCTATCATCCTAGGATTTAGAACTGGAAGGGAGCTTAGAGATCCTCATTTTATGGATAAAGGAACCAAAGTCCAAAATTTTAAGGGAGTTGTGCAGGTTCATGTAGGCAATAAATGCAGCCTACTGAAGGACTATAGGAAGAAATGGGAAGCAAGGAAAATTTGATAAAAGTTGGAAAAGGGCTACCTAGAGGCCTTCTCTTCTCTTCCCCGTCTTTCCCTTTCACTTTGTTAAATAATTCTCTTTTTTCCACTGTCCATGCCTCAAGCTGTCTAAACCCTCCTGATCAGACCAGGTCCCTCCTTTGTGGGGGAGGCTTAGGAGCCCCTTAGGCTGAGCATGGTTTTTTCCATATCTCAATCATCACTTCTTCCTCTGGGTAACTTCTAGGTACCAACAAGATTGAAATGTCAAGCAAAGAGGCTCTTGACTAGGGGTGTAAAAGGTGAGGAAATGCAATAGATAAAGTGCCGGATTTGGAGTCAGGACAACCCTGGAGTCAGGGTTCAAATCCTGCCTCTGATACTTACTAGCTATGTGACTTATCAAAATCACTTAATATTTCCAATCCTCAGTTTTCTCATTTATAAAGTGAAAGGATTTCTAAGGTCCCTTCCGGCTCTAAATCTATGATCCTATGAAGTATCAATGTCTAGGAACGAACTTCAGGAAAGCTGCTGATAGAAGTAAATGTGTGTGTATATGTGTGTGTGTGTGTAGGGGGTCATATTTGGTGAGGGGAAGGAGAAGGTGAGGCAAGATGACATTAGAAGAGCATATAGTGGAAGGGATGATTGTGGTTTAGGGGATGGAAGCTGAGCTAAGTAACTTCAGTGCCTAGATCTGTTCTAACCTGGTATCATGCCCAGCCCCGCCAGGGTGGATTGTGAGGTGGGTGGAAAGAAACATTTTTGACTTAAGATTCCCTGGCTGAGCAAAAGGTAGATACAAGGATCATTTGGAGACTATAAGAACTGTACAAGGGACACCCCTCCCACCCCCAGCCCCTTTAGTCCTTTTCCCTGGAATTTTCCTGAATCATGTGTTTTCTGAGTGGGGAAGGGGAATAGGGCAAAGATACGCTGTGCTTTGGGGATATTTGGTGTCCATTTAGTCAAAGATAAGTAGCTATTTCAAATATGCTCCAGGGATATGCCTACATTTATTTAATTTTTATTTTTTTATTCTGAACTTAAGAAATAAAACAAGCATTTCCATAACAAAGCAGAATAGAAAAAAGAGGATTGTACATGAAACTACAAATCTATTATGTACAACTTGCTTTTCCTTTTAAATATATAATAAAGTTATCATGTAATTTTTAAGGCTATGCTGTTTGTATTTCCTTCTCTCCTTCATTCTGTTCTATTCTAGGCACTTAAAAATGCTTTATTTATTTTTCTTTCTTCTTTCCTTTCTTTCTTTTTGGCAATCCTATTGCTAATCCCTGCCCCTCTCCTCTTCTTTTACCACCTTCCCACTAAAAAACAAAAACATGTTGGAGATGCAACCTGTTGAAAGTATGCTGAAGTTCAGGTTCAAGGTCAAGTCTTGGTCTGTGGATTTAGTTGTCACAAATAAAGTCTCCAAGGGAGAACACAGAGCAATAAGAGCAGAGAGGGCTGAAGACAAAACTTGAGGTGACCCACCAGTGAGGAGCATAAGAAGGAAGAGAAGATTGAAAAGAAGCAGTTAGATGGGGAAAGAACCTAGAATAATAAATTATTTTAGAAACCAAGGGAGAAGAATATTTCATGAAAAAGAATATGGTTACTATTGTCAAAAAAAGGCAGAATTTTGAGAGAAGAGAAGAGAGGAAAGAAGAGAGGAGAGGAGAAGAGAGAAGAGAAGGGAGTTCAGGACTGGCTTTTGAGGAGCTCATGGGTTGGAGATGAATGGTGATCCAGCAAAGAAGACCGAGGACCAGTCACACAAGTAAGGGAACCAAAAGTGTATAGTATTATGGAAAGGAAGAGAGGGTAGTTGATAGAATTAAAATTCAGAGAGAAATCAAGTAGACAAGAACTGAGAGAAGACTATTGGACTTGTCAGTAAAGATAATTGGTAATTTTTAAGACAGCAATTTCAGCAAAATGGTAGAATCAGACATCAGACTGCAGACATGAGAAATGGGGACAACAAGAACAGTCCAAGTCTCTGGGAGTTTGGCCCTAAAAGGGAGGAGAGATACAGGGTCATAGATTGAACAGATGGAAAGGCCAATCAAAAGTTTTTAAAGTGTGGGAGCTTGATTGTATGCATGAGAGAAGAAACCAATGGTTGAGAAAAAATAGAAGATAAGAGAAAGAGATGGAATTATTAAAGAGGCAAGCTTCTGGAGAAGATTACAGGGAGTAAGATAAAAGGCACAATTGAAGAGATTGGGTGAAAAAAGGAGAGGCATATTTTGAGAAACAGGATGTGGAGAAAAGGGAACTCTTGATTTATGGTGTCAATTTTCTGAGTAAAGTAGGAAGTTAGATCCTCAGCTGGGAAGGAAGTGGGAAGGGGTCATGTAGGAGTCTTGAGAAGAGAAGAGGCAGTTTGGAAATATTGTTGAAAATGTGATAGAGAGTCAATCACGTAAGAATAAAAGGATTGCTATGAAGCAATGAAGGCCTATTTGAGATTAGATAGCGTTGGAGGTTGAAGTCACAGGACTGAATGAAATGGTTAAGGGAGAGAGTATAGAGGGAATAGAAAAAAAAAGGTTACCTTGGGGTACACTCATATTAGATCATATTAGATCATAAGAAGAAGACAAGGAACCAGCAAAGGAGATAGAAAGGATGCAGTGAGAGAAGGAGGCAAAGGAAGAAAATATGATGTTTCTGAAGTCAAGGGAGGAGAGAATCTCCAGTGAGGCGGGAGTGATCAACAATACCAAAAGCTGCAGAGAAGCCAGAGAGGCCCCAAAAAAGATTTTGGGTTTTTTTTTATTAGGAAGTTATTGAGGACCTTTGAGACAGCAAGTTTCAGTAAAATAGTAGAGGGAGAAATCATATTGTAAGGGATTGAGGAAAAAGTAGGCAGTGAAGAAAGTGAAGTAAATAAAAATAAATTGTAGGCAGTTAAATACAAGGTAGTTAAGGCAGGGCTAACAGGTGGGAAAGGATCATTCATACAGAAGGTAGTGCTTGAGATGTATTTTGAAGGAATCAAGAGATTCTAAAAGGCAGAAGTGAGGAGGGAGAGATTCCAGAGATATGGTACAGCTAGAGCAAAGGTAAAGAGATGGGAAATGCAATACCATATGTGAGGAACAGGGAGAAGGCCATTTGGGCTCAATAATAGACTATGGGAATAGAAGTTGGGATCAGACTGTAAAAATGCCTTAAAAGCTAAGGAGAAGAGTTTATATCTTATCCTAGAAGAAATAAGGAGCCACTGGAGTTCATTGAGTAGCTTAATTACATGATCAGATCTATGCTTAAGGAAAATTACTTTGTGGAAGATGGATTAGAGGGGGAAGATATCTGAGACAGGGAGACCAGTAAAGATGCCATTGCAATAACCTAGTTGAGAAGTGATAAGGGCCTGAACTATCAGGTAGTTAGATAGATTTTCTGGACCTGTAGCGAGGAAGATATGAGTTCAAATCTTGACTCATAAACTTACTAGCTATTTGACCCTTAGCAAGTCATTTAACTTTAAGTCTCAGTTTCTTATCTGAAAAATGAGGCTAATAATAGTACCCACCTCCCAGGGATGTTGTGATGATAAAATGGGATACTATTTGTAAAGTACTTTACAAACCTTTAAGCACTATATAATTGGTGAGGAGAAAGAAAGAGTTAGTTGTAAAAGATTTTGTGGAGGTAGAAATAGCAATATTTGGCAAATGATTAGATATACTGTATGAGAAAGAATAAAGAGTGAGCAATAATACCAAGACTACTTGGGTTGACACCTGGGACATCAAAAGAATAGTCATGCCTTCAACAGAAATGGGGAAATTTGGTGGAGGAGAGGGTCTGAAGGAAAGATAATGAGTTGGGTTGAAGACATGTTGAGTTTGAGATATTTCTGTAATATCCAGTTAGATGGTTTATGAAAAATGGTGGATTATTTCTGAAACAAGGTCCTGGAGGAGGGAGGAAAGAATAGGATCAAAGACAGAGGTAGATGGATTAGCCTTAAGGAAGATTATGGATACCTATTCTGTGACTGGAAGGAAGGAGAAAGTGGATGGCAATACAGAGGAATAGAGGAAGAGAGCTCAGGGAGCTTCTATTGGATGGGCTCAATCTTCTCAGAGAAGAAGGAGACTGTCCTCGGCTGTAGTTGTTAGAAAGAGGGGAATGGTCAGGGGTTTGAGGAGAAAAGATAAGGTTTGGAATAATCACTATGGGGAATGAGAGTCAGTAAGCATAAAGAGGATTATCAAATAGCTTTGAGGTCTCAACTTTGGTTATATACCAGAAATTAGTAAGAAGTGAAATCAACTTAATTCCTTGACTTTTCCCACCAACACTCAACACCTAGGGAAAAGGAATGAATAAATTAGATGGTAAGGCAGGGTTGGGAGGAAGAAGAATCACCCAAGGATTAAGATTATCACATTTGGAATGAATTAGAGAGGAGCTAATGAAATATTGACTTGTATATCATAAGGTCAAGGTTGGATATGGAGGCAAACAAAGAGTAGGAAACCTTATAGTCTTCACTGACATGATTTCCTATATTTTTCTTCCCATCAGTCACCTTGTTAATTCTTTATTTGTAATGTACCTCAGAACTGCCTTCTTCCCATCCATTC